TAGCTGGGCTGATGTATAACTCTATTTCTATAAACAGGCTATTTCCTCAGCAGGTGTCTGAATTTTATCAAATGTATCATTTATCAGATTAAGTTCTTCATACAGGCATTGCTCTTTTTGTTTTAAGAGCAGTCTGTGCTTGAAAGAGACGATCACCATTACAGGTTTTTTTCCTGAAAACAGTATGTACCGTTGCATGTACATTCCTACATAATGCCACATTTTCGTATGAAGGCACTCAAGTGGCATCTGTATTGCAAATGTATGTATGCAAAGCAGGCATTTGCACAAGCAAAACAGATAAAGGCCTGCACATACTCAACTTTTTTTTGGCATAACTTAGTTTGATTCTCCATATTTAAACATCTACCCTTACACATCCTAAATATAAGGCAGTTTATGCTGACTTCAAAATCTGGGACATTTGCTGTGAAGGTTTTGTGCAGTGCAGGAGGAGCAAGAGACAAAGAGCCCCAAGAAGTTCACTTAGACTGTCAGGGTTCTGAAAAGTGGTGCACGTTTTATCAGTGAAACATGAGCTGTAGGCAGGTACATTGCCTGTGGGTAGCTGCTGCGAATGTCTGGGTACATTAAGCCCTTCTGACCTCTGTGGGACTTCACTGAAGTAATTCTAAATTTCACAAAAACATGACTAAAGAACAATCAGGGAGAGTAACACACAGCTAAGTTCCCAATTGTCCAAACATCAGTCCGATCACTATTGTTTCACTATGGATAGCATATTCACCCTTAGAGTATTCAATGAGACAAATATCAGTAAGAATAGTATATATAGTAGCATGCAACTTTATTCATATAACAGAGATATGAGAGAAAGAGATTGTACAAATATTTGCCAGTTACCCTTCTGAAGAAAAGGACTGAAATAGAAAATATATTATTCATTACAGTGGACCAACTGAAACCTTTACTGAGACAGAATACTTCGTAAATAAGGCAGTTTTATTTAGCAAAGAAGCCTGAGTCTGAATACAGTATTTCAGCCAAACTAAACCTGAACCACAAACTGAACCACAGAGATGTTTCTTACTCTTGGAAACTTCCAGCGGGAGATACGGTCTATCAGGTTTGTCTCGTATGGCTGTACCTGCTTTTCAAGACATCAGCCTCCTGGGCCTTCAATCTGTGTGTTGTATGCCCTTTAATCCCAACAGACGTCTGTTTCTCCTTAAGCTTTTTAGTATCTCGGCCTATTCCCCAGGCAGCTTCTTGACAGATTAGTGCTGAGGAACTGCCTGGGTCTCCCACCTTTGTTGGACTGCAGCTTTTCATCACAATTTTAACAGTCAGCTGCTTGGCTGAAGCTACGGATGCAACTGGTTTTCAAGGCTTCCAAAACCCAACCTCAACCTCTGCATGTGTCTTGATGTTATGATAGAGCAAAACTAACACAGACTTAGTAATAAAGTCATGTTCAGTCTGATGTTGCTCCTTGACATGGTGAAAATATGTTATACATATGCAAAACTGAATTGTGACAGACTGTATCCACAGGAGAGGAAACAGCTCTTACAAATCAAAGCTCCTCTCCTCAAAAATAAATAATTGCATCGGGATAACAGGTTTTACCATTAGTAAACCATTGGGGCCACACGCTGTGCTGTGTTGATCACTGGATAAATAAACCTGTCCCTTGTTGTTTATTGGATGAATAAACCTCTGGGACATGTGACAGTGTATAGCTAGAAGATGATGACTCAACATTTAGATATTTTTAATCAGCACTCTGAAAATTAAAATGCTTAATTAACACTTGGTAAGCATTGGCCAATTGAATCTTATAGAGCTCTCAATTACCTAAGCACTACTATTTACACCTCACAGATACCAGCCCTGCATTTAAGTTGCACGCAGCCACCAATGGAGTTGATATCAGAGCCATGGTTTGTGCTCAGAAGTTCCTGATTCACGGTGCAGTTTCATGTTACAATTTAACCGATCCAACAGCTCCCTGGAAAGGGAGGCCTATTCCCCATCTCACCCATGCTCCTGCTGCCTGCCTTGCCCTAGATTTGGCAGTCATGCAACTACACAGCCAAGCCACATGACGCTTAATGTCAAATGCCTTGAACCTAGTGCACACATATGAGGATCCTACATCTCAGGGAGGCAGAACTCACTGCATATGCAGTGTGGGTACCTGTGTATATACAGTGGGGCTACCTCTGCACCTGAGCAGAAAGTCCAATACATTAGACTTGTTCATGTGGGTGCAAGAAGGAACAGGCAGATGCTGGGCCTAGAGCCTCACCAACCCCAGAGATGGCCCTGCAGGACAGCCCCTTGCTCAGAACATGCGCTGCCTCAAAAGCAGTCACCTCATACATATGGTGTAAAATGTCTGTAAACTGACAAGGTATCTTTAATCCTGCATTTTTAGTAAGAAGTTTCCTGACTGCTTGGATTTCTTTACGATTTCTGAGTCATTAAGGAGACGCTACCATGGCTAACCCTCAGCTGCTACTTGTGCTGCTTCACAGTGAGAGCAGTTAGCGTCCAGATCTGTCAACAGTCTTTGCTTCTGATGAAATATGGTAGTTTTTTCTGCCCTTTCAGGGGAAATATTTTAAAACATATTTTATTCACTGAAGTATTGACTTATTTTTCATTTTGACACAACTTAATAGTATATTGATATATATAGATATAGGAGTTAAATTTCACTGAAAACAGAGGAACAGTCTGCATTCCAAAATATAGCTCCTAACTATATATTGATAATTGCATGTCTACTGATAAGGTTGTAATCAGGGTCATCCCCTCAGCTCAGGTTATTCTTAGCTCTGAGGTCATAATCACAGTCAGTGATTCAGCCAGTCATCATAATTCTTAACCATTTTGTTTTCCATGTTAGCTCTATTGCTTGAGATAAGTTTAATGAATATGTATACTTGGACATCTGGATGCAAACAAGAATACCATCTCCATGATCCTGTGTTAGAGGTAACACGCCTTACTCTCCCTCCGACTATACTACTCCAACTATGAATTTTAGTTTTTCTGTGGCTGTAGTTTTTCAGACCTTTCTGTGGCTTTTTTTGGAGAAACTGGTTAATCTGCAGAGCAATCTCCATGACTGGGCTGCCAAGTATAACTCTCCTGGACTATTAGGACAGCCGCAGCTCATATCTGATGCATATCCCACATATTCACGTTTGCAACCCATCCACGTCTCCAACCTTTTCAGAAGTCCGTTCTACCTCTAACTTCACATCTGTTTCTGCTATTCATAGCAACTGCCCAGCTCATCCTCCTTCTGTTTTCCCTACTCCATCTTGTCTACCACCCATGAGCTTGTCAAGCCACCTGCCTTTCTCTATTTCTCCTCCTTTTTTCCCTGTCACATACACCCTGACATATCTGAGCACCTCTGGGGCTTCTGACATCTCCATTCTCCCACCGTTCTCCATATGGTCATCTCCCCTCACAAGGTTTCACCTTACCCCTGCCCACACATATATATCTAGCATCTTAATTTCAGGCCTTCCCCTCTTACCTTCAGAGTTCTGGTTGCACTCCTGAGTGGACTCCTTTCCCATCCTGGTTTCAGAAGATACCATGAATAGTTCTAAAAGAAAAAGAAAGGGGCGGGAGGGGGAAGATTGTACTAGTGAACTGAAGAAAACTAAAAACTTCCTGGAAGAGATCATGAAAGACAAAGCCTTATGCTCCATAGATATAGCAGATACGTAATCCAGCACCTTCTTGAAAGTTAATTTTTATTGCGGTTAACTATAAAGTCCCTTTGGGGAAAAAAAAAAAAAGGTCAATTTAGATACCATTCCAACAGAGTAGACTTTACAATGATAATTTAGATAATTAAGATATTGGTACCAATAGTCTCTGAACTTTGTTAATACCTCAGAAAAAAACCTTGGTCAACCCAATTTATACTGGAATGGCGCGACTCTGCAAACCTTCATCTTTCTTCTGTGCATAGTGATTTCTAGAACTCGACTTTACATATGCGAGCAGCAAACAAAATCAGAGCGAAGTTAAGGTAGTCTGAGCACTTCTATTGAGCATCTGAGGCCTCTGACAAATGGCAGAGTCATTTTTCAAGTTAACTCTGAATTTCAGGGTTTCATCTTTTGGTTTTTGACAGCTGTAGTATCTTACAGCTGTCACTCTACGGTGTGTAGGTATTTTCTGTAACCCTTATGTTAACAGTATCTGTTGCCAACCTAAACTCCAGCTTAGGTTCTGCACCTGTTACATAGCAAATATTACCAGGGAGTAATTAGGCTTATTTTTCATACTCTCCTGATGCTGAACTACAGGTATTACTCAGCCACATCGCACGAAGGTGTTTGCACTGAGTAACTTTGCTAGCACACCCAGCATATGTGATTAGTGAGCTGTCCAAAGAGGATTTTCTTCCAATAAGGAAGTAGGGTTTGGTTTCTGGTGTGCTTAATGTTGATGATGGTTTCCATCCGAGATTTTGTGACTTCTGTTGTTATCCAGTTCTCAAGAGACAATATTCACAGTCCCTTCAGATTGTAGAACTCTTTCTTTTGCTGCTAAAAATTTATCCTGGTATGAAAATCCAAGGTGTACTAACAAAATTTAAATGCTGACAACTGGATCAAAATGAGTGATGAGCAGGCTGAAATTGGAATGGGAGCACTTTCACACTACGCATAAATTATGCTGCTGAGATGAAAGAACAGTCTGTTGCTAATTTTAACCTATATAAAACAGAAAAGATATTTCTAAGGACGTGGTCTTAATCGAAGTAGAAGAAGAAACGCTTAAAAGAGGGAATGAGTGATAAACAAAGAAATTTTTGACAGCATTTTTAAACGCAGCCTGAGGTCAAGAGGGACTTGTGGAAGTTGCAAGAGCTTAACGAAAGTCAAGTTCAACATAGAAGAGTTTTGGTTCTGTCGAAACAGCAAGGTTGTGCTGGGAAATCGGATTTTAAGGTTGTGCAGACGGTCATATTATTCTAAAACTTATGAAAAAGTCACTCTGTTTTAAACGCCATGTTTCGACAAGGCGGCGCGATGGCAGCGGGCAGGAAGGCAGTCGTGGTGCTCCTTCCGCAGGTGCCTGGGAACACAGCAGTCCCGCGGGAACTCACGGCAGGAACGAGCTACGCTTAGAGAATATTTCATCATGGGAGAGATATATGCGTGAAAAATACGCGTAATTACAAACCTGTGTAAACAGAGGGTACCTGAGATCTTTAACACGCGGGAGAGCGAGTAAAACTTGTAAGGGCGAATTCAAAATGACATGCCCCAGCTTTCAGTTGGGCAGCTCGTGGGGGGCTGTAAGGCTGAGACCCAGGCGCCTATGTGGGGAAACCGCAACGCGGCGAACACCAGAGGCACCAGCCGAGGCC